AACATTGTAACAGTCTATAAACTGGTTTTTTTTGGCTACAATTTATAAATCACTGTTTTTCCATTGTTTGTTACATCTTCTTCAATATGGATAATTGCATTTTCTAATGCTGAAACTGAATAAATAATAGCAAATTTTCTTTCCAGGTTTGATGAGGCATCTAAAGGGGATATGGGAGACTTAGGTACTTTGAATATTATTTTAAATATAGTGGATATACCTTTAATTTAGAATAGCTCTTTGTAAATGAAGGGAGAGATCGGGTATGTAATCAAGATATGCAGGTGTGGCTGTAGATATCTCAGCCTAGCACAATTGAATGCAGGAAGCCACCGAGCCAAGCTAAGATGTAGACGTTAGGGTCTGTTTTGAAAATTATTGAGCTTTTGGGGTGAGCTGTGGTTGTAGACATCTCAGCCCAGCACAATTTAATGCAGAAAGCCTCAGAGCTGAGTTAAGATGTAGACCTTATGGTCAGTTTTGAAAACTGACCTTATGGTCAGCTTTTTGGGTGAGTAACTCTCTCTCTCCTTTTTTGAATTATAAATGGAGCATTCATGTGTACTAACATATAGAATAAATTGACAGCTCCTGTACTTTAGGAGACAGTCCATAACAGTGGAACCTGTTCAGAAGCCAGTTGGAATATACCAGAACTAGTGGGATAGATAGTTTAATGAGCTTCAGGGATAAGTTTAGAACATACCCAGCTCTCTCTCTTCAAATTTAGAAAACTATGTTTGTTTATTTATTTATTAAATTTATACCCTACCCTGCCCACTTTGTAAAAAGATGTGACTTTATGTGCAGCACCTGACAGATTGGGACCTGAGAAAGCTGAGGGAAATGAGTACCAACCGGGGTCAATTGTCGCAGGACTATATATTAATGTGCTGCCTTAATGTGCTGTTTTAATGTGAATAAAAGATTGTCCTCAAACTAGATAATTTTAGCAAGTCTTGAATAAAGAACTCCTTTTTTTAAGAATAATGGTGAGAGTAATTTTTGTTGTTGTTGTTCAGTCGCACAGTCGAGTCCGACTCTTCGCGACCCCATGGACCAGATCACGTCAGGCCTTCCGGTCTTCCGCCGTCCTCTGAAGTTTGCTCAACTTCATGTTCGTTGCATCTATGACACTCCTGAGTAAAATATATACAGTGTAACAGTCTATGAACTGTTTTTTTGCTACAATTTATAAATCACTGCTTTTCCATTGTTTTGTTACTTACTCACTTGGAGGTTGGCAACCTTAGTTCCTTTGGAGGAAATGACTGCTTTGGAGGGTGGAGTCTATGGCATTATATATGTCTGAAGTCCTTCCCCACCTCAATCCCCCCCATCCCCAGGCTCTACCCTTCAAATCTCAAGGAATTTCCCTACCTGGAATTGGCATCCTTATCTCCTTCCCACCCAACAGCCAGACTACCTTTATCTGCCCCTGTCTTCAGCTTTCCATCTCCGTTCCCCCTGCAGCTTCTACTGAGGAAAACTATGGTTTTCTCCACAGTTGGAACTAAAGCAGTTTACATTCTCTCCTCCTTTTTATCCACACAACAACCCTATGAGGTAGGTTAGGCTGAAAGTGTATGACTGATCCAAAATCACCCAGTGAGTTTCCACAGCAAGATGGGGATCTAGACCTGGGTATTGCAAATCCTACTCTGAAGCTCTAACCATTATACTACAATGACTTTCATAGGGTGGCTGCTGTTGAATAGTAGCAAGCAGCCAGGCCTAGTTGAATCATACAAGTCAGGTGGTATCAAGTCACCCAGAGGGTGCTGCTAGGGCTAGGCTTGCCAGCCTCCAGGTGGGACCTGGAGATCCCCCAGAATTACAACTGAACTCCAGACAACAGAGGTCTGTCCCCCTGGATAAAATGGGTGGACTCTGTGGCATTATATCCAGCTCCCCAAACTCTGCAGTCCTCAGACTTTACCATGGAATCTACAGGAATTTCCCAACCTTGAGTGGGCAAACGTAGTCCCAGGCCTGGCTCCAAACCTCCTGCTATTTAGCCATTCATACTGCAGGAGGAATCCCCCCCAATCTGAGCTCCAGTTCTGCTTTTTGCTTCTCTCTCTCTCTGGCTATCAGCCAGTCTATCTCTCACTGTCTATGTGGTAGAGCCTGAAGTAGATCCTTGTGGTGGCCATTTCAAAAGGTACTGGGGGGAATTCAACCCTCCCTGAGTTTTTAAAAAATGTTTTGTTTTTTTCTGCAAACCCATGGAGTCCCCTGAGTCTGTAGAAAAACCTGCTTGGGGAAAGTATGCCCTCTATCAGTGGAAATAAGTATCTGCACGCAGAGGGGATTGTTGAGAATTAAATATATAGATGCATGGGGTACAGGGAGCTGACAAAGAGAAATTTTCTCCCTCTTCCAAAATACTAGAACTCAAGGTCATCCAATGAAGCTGATGGGCAGTAGGTTCAGGACAGACAGAAAGAAATACTCCTTTACACAGGGAGTGATTAAAATGTGGAATTCGCTGCCAGTGGGTGTAGTGATGGCCATAGAAATAAACATCATCTTGTCCTTGTGGCCAGAAACAGTGGAGAGAAGACCAAAGCATGAGAACTAAGGTACTGATGAACTTTAAACTACTGTCACTTCAAATAAAGGTAGCCTTTCCTAACTAAATGTGTAGTTTAAGCTAAGCTCTGTATAGTGAAAAAGGACTGCGGTTTTTTCAACTTTTCTTTTGCTCAGTCCAAATGCCTGAAGAGAACATGTGTATTCTTTTTTTCATTCATCAAACTTTTACAAAATATTTTTAATATTTTAAAACTGATTTCTGGAAAAAATACCTTGCCTATTCGGTCTTGTTATCTCAAGTGTGGTAAGGAAGAGGGGCGGCTGGTCAGTTCACCATCCCTGGAGCATGATAGCTTGAATGTGCAAAGTCCTGGCAGATTGTCTCTGTGCTAGTCTGGGGAACAAAATGGGCAGGTGCAGCAACTAGGAAGAGCCTGTAAATGACAACACAGGCACAGAGTGCTAAATATGCAATTCCCTTTAGTAGGAGATGCTCTGAGTTGCTGGTAGCAATGGGTGTATACCATTTGGAGGGGGGGGCACTCCCAAGCCTCAGCTTGGCAATCCCACGCTAGCCCCTCACACTCCAGTACTGAGTGAGATCGTAATAAACTCACTAATGGAGTGTGAGGGGATGGGGTGGGATTGCCAAGCTGAGACTTGGGATAGTTGTGGTTTTTGTCCAAGATCCCAAGGCCAACCATAAAGAGTAGGAGGGGCTTGAGTCCATTCCTTCCCAGCCTCCATGGTAGATCTAAACTTCTGCCAAGAACTGTGTTCCCATCTTTGGCTCCTCCTCCTGTCCCTTGTATGTTGTAATGACTGTGTGACATAGATGTGTGGCTGAAGTTCAGGTCTGGATTTCTGGTACCATCTAGTTTTACTGTGAGCCTTGTACAATGAAATATAATACATAAACCATTTTAAATGCACTTTTAAAAATCCTGTAGGAACCCAACTGGCTTATCGTGTGAGACAAGTTTACTAAAACCCCACTGTGTATCACACTAGAAAGGGGAGGGGGACTTCCTCAAGGTCCCTAATCCCATTTTTGGACTCCTATTCTTCTCAGTTTTTATGTCATGCATATACTCTCCATGCAGGGCAGGAAGCTCAGACTAGGTGGACTCAGCGCTATATATTCGCTTTGCCATTTTAGAAATAAATGATGGAAGGAGAAACTAGCAACAGCGATTTTGCTCTGTCAGGAATTGGACTGAAACAAGCAAAAGCAATCACCTAATTCCATCCTGCAATGAATTATAAGTTGCCCCAGAAATGATGTTAACATGAAGGGATTCATATGTTATTTCTTTATTCATTCCCTCAAGACATTCAGTTTTCCTGGCTTTTTCATGCTTTCATTTTTCTGTACTTCAGATGCCTATAATAGTGTTGTGTTGATAGATGGAAAAGAACGAGAGCAACAGTGACAGGAAAATGTATTGCATCTATTTGCAGTTGGCATCAGTGAACTTTTTCGACATTCTCTTGAAGTCAGTGAAAGGGAGCTGTGATATTCTTTGTGTGTGTGTTATCTATTTATGGCACACAATCCTGCAGTGAGTACCAAGAATGCAATGTAGGGAAGCAGGACAAGGAAGACACATTTCCCTCCAAAATCTGAAACTGTGAACTCTCAAACAGATTACTGCCAGGCTTTGACTCTGTCCCTGACATATTTAAAAAAATACAGGAGTCTCGGCCTTTATTTGCAGGGCACAGTTGTTAACTGGAGCCATCCTGAATCATAGTCTGTGATCTGATTGGAAAGGATAAAATGCTCCCCCCACCTTCCCTGGTTAAAAAATATCATGTTCATGGCTGCCCCTGCAATGATGCTTTTTATTTCCCTGAATGCTGCTACTTCCTCCCTTCCTGAATTATTCACTTGGATGACCCCATATAACCAGGATTGCACAATAAATGGGATAAGAGCAAGTACAAGACAGCCCATCAGATTTAGCTATATAAAGGCATCAGTGAGTGTAAGGGATAGCAGCACCATAAACAATTTTTTAAAAAAATTCTGCAAGGACTGCTGGAAGAGAAAGCAAGTAATCACCAAAAAAAGGGATCTTGGGGAGGGCACTGCTAAAAATGTTTGCCAAAACCAAAAAACCAAAAAAACCCCACCCTCTGTGAATGGTTTTATCTTCATTCTAAAATGGCCATCCCCAGATTTTTTTAAAAGAAAAAAACCCTTGAAGATGGATCAGATATTTCATGGAGTCAGAGCACAGCTGGAGCATGGGCTCTTGGGGGTTAAGGCTGCCCTTCACTTATCCTGGATTGTCACCCTCCCACCATTACTGAAAAAAGAATTGCTTTACAAATATCTAACAGAAATATTAAACATCTTTTATTGCTTTAGGAACAGCATGAAGGCACTTTCAAATCATAAGATGTGCAGAATGGAAATCAGAACAGATGGAGTTCAGACAGCACTCTCTGGCACTTACCTGGCCGATGTGCCTTTGGAACAGCCATGTTTGTCACGCGTCCTCCGTCCTGAGGTTTGGGAGGTGATGCAGTAAACCTGCAAATCCCCGATTCTGATGGGGTGCTTGAGGTTAGGCTGTCTGTGTAGTCATTAGTCCCTGCCGTTAGCTGCTCTGAGGAGGTGTCTGATATGAAGCATTCTGTGATGGTAAACTTGGCATGTCGCAGCTGCTCTTCCATCTTGGCATGTTCATATGCTCTTGCTAGCTCTTCATATGTCGAGGAGGCACTTTCTGTGGAGACCATGCTGCTTCGAGCTCGATCTAAAGACCAAAAAAAAGGGTAGGTCCTTCAGGGGGGAAATTCTCTGATAGCTTTTTAAATAAACAAGGTTCAAGTTTTAGAGGGAAGAAGAGTTCTTGTTCTCTGTTAGTGCCTCTCTGCATTCCAACTTGGCCTAGGGATGGGCTTGAACCAAATTACGAATCGAAATTCATCATGAACTGGGCCCAGTTCTTGGTTCGCAAACCTCAGTTCAGGCCATCCCGTCCCCATGAACCTCCCAGGTGGCTTTAGGAGGTTTGTGTGGTTCGGGATGGCACACGTGCCGGTGGTGGGGCTTGAAGAAGGCATTTAAAGAGACTCTGGTCTCTTTAATACTGGAGTCTCTTTAAATGCCTCTAAGCCATGCCATGGCGGTTCTGCAACTCAGTGAGCGTACTCAGAAGGCAGTTAAATGTCTTCTGAGTTCACTTGTGAGTTGTGCTGTGGTGGCGGTACAGCTTGCAAAAACCATTTAAAGAGATCATAGAATCATAGAGTTTGAAGGGGCCATACAGACCATTTAAATAGTTTTTACAAGCCACACCAACAACTCAAAAGTGAACTCAAAAGTGTTTAAATGAGTTCAGTCATGCAGTGGCTTGGTTCGCAAAAGCCATTTAAAGGGATCCCTTTTGAAAGCTGCGTCACTGCATGACTTCTGAGTTCACTTGTGAGTTGTGCCGTGACAGTGGTGTGGCTTTCAAAAGCCATTTAAAGGGAACCTTTTAAATGGCTTTTGCAAGCTGTGCCACATCATGAACCACAAACCTCAAACTGGTTAATTAAATGGAAAGGTTCGTGGAGATTTGTGTTTTGTGACACCCCACGAAACACGAACCTTCACAAACCTCAATTTTCCTGGTTTGTGCCCATCCCTTGCTTGGACAATATCACCAAGTTTTAAAGGGCATGTTTTCTTAAAAGCATTATGCCAATCAGGTTACTTGAACTGAGAATGAAATGACTGGCAGAAAGACCTGTCTTTCATTCTTAAATACCATTTTGAACTGAAGGGGATTTCACTTTAAAAACAAATTCAGTGTTTGCAAATGATATATGGAAGGGTAATCAAAACTCACAGAAAATGGATATCACATAACGAATGACAGGATTGCACCATTTGGACTTGTTTCAAAGAACCACAAGGCAAAGAATGGGCAGAGAATACCCACAGACTGTATCTCCCTCCTCCCTCCTGCTGCAGCCCCTGTGCCTCCCACCAAAAAGTCAGGGGATCTTCAGAAGTACTGTGGAGTATAATTTGTTCTCTTCTCTGGCAGGAGTGAAAGGAGGTGTTTGGATCCAATCTACTGTCTCATTCTTCAACATACATTTCCCTTAAAGAAAGTAAGGATAAACCAGGGCTTCCCAACCTTTTTAGTTTTGGAATTTTGATTAAGTGTAGGGTGCAGGAAAGGAAAGGAGCTCATCAGGGTATAATGTAGGGTTTCAAGGTACTCACTCCTATTGTCTGCCACAGCTCCAGTGGTCAGTGGGAAAAAATAAAGTAAGAAATTGCCATCAACATGATAGCATTATGTTACTTCTAGAAGGAGCTGGAAATGACACCATGCCTCTGTAGGAATTGTCATAAACTCTATGTTAAAACCTGTCAAAGCCCCACCTTCCCTAGGCTCCAGCCCCCAAATCTCCAGGAATTTTCCAACCCAGAGTTGGCAACCACACACCAATGGCACACATCACTTCCAGGGAATACCTAGAAGTGATATCATGCCCATGGCACCCCCCATCTCTCTAACTTCCATCAGACTCCCACTGGCTGGCAACACTAGTGTAATGCCATAGTCCACCCTCCAAAGCAGCCATTTTCTCTAAGGGAACTTATCTCTATAGTATGGAAATCAGTTGTAATTCCAGGAGATATCCAGGCCCTGGCATGGTAGCAATCTTAAGATATAATCACTTTACTTTTAAAAGCATTTTTCACCTAGCCAGCCCTTGGTGGGCTTGCAGACAACAGAGAGGGAAAGAAGATACCTGGTCTTCCTACCTAGGACATGAAGGCCTTTAAAGGTAATAGTTAGCACTTTGAATTGGGCGAATAGGTAGTCAGTGCAGCTGATGCAGGATTGGAGCTATGTATTCTGTGCTGACCTTAGAGAGGAGGACTGCTGCCACATGCTGAGCCAACTGAAGCTTCCAAGAGCAATCAATCAACATTATGATCAACAGATCAGTCAACAACAAAGCACAGTCTACATACATTTAAAATTAATACAAAGATTAAAATTCACAAATATATTGTACTGTAACTGCTTATACATAAAAGTAATTTAAAAGTTTTGAATAGCTGCTTTCTTATGGACAGAGTCACAGCACAGAATAAGCTTCTGAGCTGGCTTCAAAGGCAGCCCCACAAAGAACACTAACACTAGTCCCATCTGGAGGTTACAGAGTAGCATGGATTAGTGTAGCCACGTTAACAGAATCTAGATAAAGGACCAGTTTATGAGCCAGATGTAATTAAGAGAAGGTGGTCCTTTCCATCAGGAATCCAGGAGCAGCCCCAAAGTTCTTAACTTGATCGACCATGGAAAGCTTAACTACATCTTAGTCTGGCAAATCAACACTACCCAAACATCTGCCTTCCCAACCAGCATCACTTTCATCTTGCCTAAATTAAACTTCAGTTTGTTTACCCTCAGCCACTTGAAATTGGCCACAAGACACTGGTCCAGCTGCCTCTGGAGGCTTGGACAGTGTTGGGTGTCATCAGTATACTGGTGAGAACCCACTCCAAAGCTCCTGATGATCTCAGCTGATAGTCTTATACAGAGATAAAAGAGCACTAGGGATAAAAATGGACCCTCGGGGTACCCAGCATGTCAAGTCCCAGCTACTTTATTCAGCTTATCCTATGGTAACTGCTTGTTTCCTGCCAACAAGAAACAAGTAAAACCAATGGACGACAATCCCTTTTATCCCAAACAGCCGTTGGCCCTCCAAGATATCATGGCTGACTGCATCAAATGCTGCTCATAGATTTAACAGTATCAGCAGAGATGCACTGTCCTTGTTCAACTTTATTACAGTGAACTCCAGTTTAAAAGCATATGTCATCAAAAAGGTTATCCCTAGAATATAATCTTCCCAGCAGAACCTGTTATTATAAATTTTGAAGCAACTATATATCATCAGTAAAAATGAACCCTTGCACCAACTGCAGTCATCCGGGAAGTGCCCTCCTAATATCCTTGCCCACAGAACAGTTTGTACACTACTGCTCAAGCTTTTTCAGTTTCTGAATCAACTTTGTGGAACACCTTCAGCAAGCAAGTGATGGGGGGAGGGTCCTTTGTTACGGAGTTTTACTTGGCCTTGCAATACAGCTTTTTGTAGAGGGTTCGCTTAACTGAAAAGTGTTGTTTGGGCTTTCTTTTTATAGTTTTCATGGTATTTATATAAAGTTTTGCTGAGTGACCTTTTGATAGATTTAACTGGCTGTTTGATACACTGTGTACTTTATTGTGGCATCTGCCTTGGCATACTTTAAGCTGCCTCCATTCCTGGGAGAAAGGCAGGATATAAATCTTTTAATAAAATAAATAAATGAAAATGACACGAGCTGAAGTTATTACCAACCTGTTACCTAGATAGCTCACTAATGAAAAAAAATGCCTTAATACATCCTCCAGATTATCTCCCATAACATCCCCCCTCCAAGTGAGATTGCCTGCCTTAACCCTACCCTCTTCAAGTATAATAAGGCATGCTGGTAAAATGTTCTGAAGGCATATCTGTAATGGAGTAAACCTTTCATCCCTTCTAGCTCTTCCCGTCTGGACATTGCTTCTTAATTGGCTTCTGATGGCTGTTTTGATTGATATTTTGCATTGTCACTTCAAGTGAGAACTCATTATTACTTCAAGTGAGAGCCCTCCCTGGTTTCATTTCCAGAAGGTTCTGTGAATTTTATGTAGCAAATTCTCATTCATTTCCTATGAAAAATCAGCAAGTACTCTGGCCCTGACCTGGAGAGCCCAGGCAAGCCTGATCTCGTCAGATCTCAGAAGCTAAGCAGGGTCGACTCTGGCAAGTGCTTGGATGGGAGACCTCCTTGGAACACCAGAGGCGGGGGCAGAATCTATTCAGCCACCCCTCTGAATATCCTCCAAGCCCCCAGTAGGGGTCAGTCACCAGGGGTCACCATGACTTCCAAGAGCACACACAGTCAGTAACCAGAGGTTTCCATGTCTTCCAGGTGTGCACACATTCATACGCACACAAATGAAATACAAAAAAATACAAAAAAATCAGTAAGTACTCTGTATCACATGTGTGTGTGTATTCAGTCACCAGCAAAAAAAAAGAAAGAAATTAGCAGTGAGTTCTTACTCCTCATACATTTTTTTTTCTCTCTCTCTTTTTGTATAGTTGCTGGTGACCGCAAAGTCTCATCTTCAATACAGGGTTCAGGATTGTTAGATGGACTAAGTCATGTGGCGTGAGTTATGTCTGATCTGATGATAATTTCTTTTCTTATTCAGAAGTCTAGAAACAAAGTTTCTACCTGTATCTTGAGATGGACTGACACTGTAACTGTCGCTCTCTTTATCCACAGACCCTGCAGCCCTGGGGGTTGGTAGCCTCCAATCTGTTGTTAAGGTGTGGGCTGATATAGTGGGATGGGGTCTGTTGAGAGTCCACTGGCTAGCATATCTGTTGCGAGCTGTGGGCCCCGTTTTTGCATTCCTTCGTGTTGTAGGATCTGCAATTAAAACACAGAGATAATCGTTGAACATAAGAAGCTCCCTCATACTGAGTCAGGCTATTGGTCTATCTGGCTCAGAGTGTCTACTGTGGTTCTTCAGGGCAGCTGGCAAAGAAGGATCTTTGCCAACACGTCTGATTTGGTATCATTTAACTGGATTTACCAGTCTGAATGCAAAACAAGTGCTTGAGAAATGAGCCACAGCTCCTTTCCTTGTGGGCGCCAGGAACTTAATTAGTCAATTAAATCCATAAGGAAAATGTCTAAAAGGAACAGGGCCACTACCACAATTCTGAAGATTACCTCTCTGATTAGGTTCCAAGTAGATACCAATCTTTTTGAAGCCAATGTAAAACCTCTCTTCCAGGTAGCTAAAGCAAAACTGAGTGGACATTGTGGCCCTGTAGTGGAGCATTGCTGCTGTTTTAACTACTGCTAAATTTGAAAACTAATGCCAATGGCTGACCACCCCCCCCATAAGGATAAAAAAAAATCTGTACAACAGGGCCACCCAGGGCTAGGGTTTAGGTTTATAAAAAGCCAGGAGAATGCCTAGGTTTGAAGGAAAATCTGTTTAAAAAAAAACAAAAAAAAACACTGGAGGTTATGCCACTCAAACAGGTCAGTAATGACCACATACACACACACACATACATGAAGAACTTTGAATGAATTTTGGTTTCCGTAGTGACTCAAAGTAGTGTCCAGTGTTGAGGAAGCAACTGCAGCACACCACTTGAAGGAGGTGTGTGGGGAGAAGCAGGAGCAGTGAGATGAGAGGGGAGAACAGAACCAGTGTGGTGCGAGGGGAGGGGAAGCAGTAGTCAGCTACATGTAGGGTTGCCGAAACACCTGGAGAAAATAATGTCTTGTCTAGGGGTGTATGTTCAGGTCTACCAGAACTAAAAATATACTAAAAAAATACCTTATTGATATTTTTCGGGTATATTTCAACCACAAATGTATCTGGGCTTTCTCAGGAAAACCAGGAAAAAAATTCCAGATATATTTGGGAATTACCGGTAGATCTGAAAACAGAGGAGAGACAGGAGCCGATTGCTCTCGCCTCTCAGCTGTTTGTTGGGTTTCTAACTTTAAAGAGACTACAGCAGATAGCCTGAGGATAAGGATCAGCCGTCCCAGGGGGAACAGACTGTTCCCGCCAGCTTGGCTTGGGGCTGGTTTCTCGTGCAGCCTGGTTTAAACTGGGCTGCAGGAGAAGCTGTCCCAGCCAGGATCTGCATGCCTTTGGGAGCGGGTTCCTCATGGCACACAGTTCCTGGGTCTCTCTTCTTCTGAAGAAGGAGAAGCCAAGCCAGCCCCAGGTTCAGGCTGACTTTTAAAAAATCCAGTATTTTTCTTCTTGCGTCTATTGGGCCAGAAAAAAATTCAAACTTTCCACAGACCCATCCCACTGTATCAGCCCACACCTTAAGAACAAATTTGAGGCTACCAATACTGTACCAGTATTCCCCGCTCCTGGATTTGCATGCCGGAGGGAGATCACTTCCTGAGGCATGTAGATTCTGGGTTTCTGCAGTGTGGTCTAAACCAGGCTGCAGGAGAAACCATCCCAGCCAGGCTCTGTGTGCCTCAAGAAGCGATCTCCCCACAGCATGCAGATCTGAGGCACGCAGATCCTGAGTCAGGCTCCTTCTACAGGAGAAGCCATCCCAGCCAGGATCTGCCTGCCTCTGGGAATGATCTGCCTGTGGCACGCAGATCCAGGAGCTGGCTTCTCCTGCAGCACAAATCCGAGGCTTGCAATTCCTGGGTCTGACTTCTTCTGCAGCCTGGTTTAACCTGTGCTGCAGGCGAAGCCACCCCAGCAAGGATCTGTGTGCCTCAGAGAGTGAACTCCCTGCAACATGCAGATCCTGGAGCTGGCTTCTCCTGGAACACGGTTTAAACAAGACTGCAGGAGAAGTCCTGGATCGGGCTGGCTTTAAAAAACCCCAGGTATTTCTCTTCCCGGGTCTATTTTACCCAATAAAATTTGGACTCTCAACAGACCCCATCCTACTATATCAGTCTTCTGAGCCCACACCTTAACAACGGATTAGAGACAATGCCATACTAGTATTGGGATCTAGAATTTTTTGGAAATACCTCCCCAAATAACTATTTTTTTTTAAATGCACCCCCCTAGTCCTGTCCCTTTAATAGAGGCTTTGCTTAGAAAGTCCACTTGCACGTTTAGGGATCTGGGCAGGTGGGCTGCCAGTAAGGAGACATGGAGTTGCAAACTACACGTAGCCATGGGCCCAGAAGGTTTGCACATCTGTTTGGATAGCACCAAAGGTAAGTCCCAGGCAGATGGAGGGCCCCGGGATGGGGGAAAAAGGTGATTGAGGCCCTTAAGGAATTGTTTGGTCTGCGGGTGAGAAAAAAAAGAGTAACCATCCACCGCAGGGTGGTTAGCGGAGATGGCAGCTAAATAAACACGCAACAAGGCACAACTAAGGCCCACTGGACAACAAGAAACCCCAGAGTGACGCATCTGTGGTGAGTATCATAGAAGGGGTGGGAGGGTGAAATGGGGCTCCCACGAAAAGGTTGCATGGATTCTCCCACCAGTCCAACGAGTTCAACACCTGAGCAGGGAGGATGACCCTCTGGGATTGGGGTTGAAGTTGTGGGTGAAACCTCTTGAGGAACCACAATTGGAGTGGCCTCATATGTAGCCAGGCAAAACTGATTACTGCTGTAGTGGCGGCCATCAGCCCAAGGAGACACTGGATTTGTCTCGCTGAGGCATCCCCCTGGTGATGAAGAAGACTTATGAGAGCAATAATGTTGGCAGCTCTTTTGGGGGGAAGAAACACCCTGCAGACCCTTGAGTTCAAGATTGCCCCAATAAACTGGACCCGCAATGAAGGGAGGAGCATGCACTTTTTGAGGTTGACTGTCAGTCCTAATGCTTCCAGGACACCCAAAATGAGATCTACCGCACGGAAGAATACAGGTGGGCAGCGATGACTACCATCATCTTCGTAAAAACTTGAGGGGGGGGGGTAGATAGCCCAAAAGGAAGGGCCTTGTACTGAAAATGTCCCTCTCCTACAGCAAAACGCAGAAACATCCTATGAGCTGGATGGATCGTTACGTGGAAATACGCATCTTGCAGATCCAGAGTCACCATCCATCCACCTTGTTCGAGAAGTGGAAGGATGTTCTGCTGAGTCGTCATACAGAATTTCTTGTAACCTATGAACCAATTGAGGTTTCTTAGGTCCATAATGGGACAGAGGCCTCCGTCCCTCTTGGGGACTGTAAAATAACGGGAATAAAACCCCTGGTAATGCTGGGATGTAGGGACCGGTTCTATAGCATCTTTTTGGAGAAGGTTTTGAATTTCTTCCAGGAGTGTGCTGGACGGTTGAGTGAGCACGAAGTTGGAGGTTGTTGGAGCTTGGATAAACTTGATAAGGTATCCCTTCTTGATGACAGAAAGAACCCACCAATTCGAATTTATCTGGTGCCAGGCAGGGAGGTAAGGGGACAGGCGGGTGGGAGACATGTGTAGATGACCGGAGTCAAAGGCTCTGTTTAGAGATGTTAGGGGCCTTAGCCCTAGACTGAGCAGGCAATGAAAACTTAGGTTTCTTTTCATAAGGATGTGAAGAGACATTTGGAGATCTCTGCCACTGCGTCTCTGGGGAAGACTTGAGTGAGAATCTGTGGGACCAGGATTTGTTCCATGATTTTGCCCTGCTGTGTTTAGGGGCTGGAGAGACTCCTAAATCACGTGACATTTTGATATTCGTGTCGAGGTCTTGCAAGACAGTATCTGTCGTGGAGCTGAAAAGATCTTCACCCTCAAAAGGAAGGTCCTCAACAAAGGATTTGGTATCCTGCTGCAGAGCTGTGGAGCATAACCAAGCATGGCGCCTAAGGGCAACTGCTGAGGTGAGAGTCTTGGCCACCACATCCAGGGTGTGTTTAGCAGCATTAAGCTAAAAGCATGCCTTCTTTTTGAATTCGCCTAGCTTGGCGATTAAGGTCCTCAGGGAGGATTGCAATAAACTCAGACAACTGCTCCCAAGCAGCATATTGATATTTCCCCATACATGCAGTATAGTTGGAAGTTTTGATGCCCAATTCTCCTGCGGAATAGAACTTCCTGCCGAAGGAGTCTAATTTTCTTCCTTCCTTGTCAGGGGGAGTGTAATGACTATGTCTGCCCTTCGAGGAGGAGGTGACGACCACCAAGTTCAGTTTAGGGTGAATGAACAAAAACTCAGCACCTGTTTCCTGCATCTTATACATGTGATCCATCCTCTGGCTAGAGATGGGAATGGAAGCCAGATGGGACCAGGGAGCTTTAGCCATTTGCAGCAGGACCGAAGTCATGGGCAACGCGATGGCTGTGGAAGTGTCCATCCGAACAATATCAAATACAAAGTCTGTAACTGTAGGTGGGGGTTGAACAGTCAACAGGGCCAGCATGTTAGCCATTCGCTTAACAAAATCCCCATAAGACTTAAGGTCCACAGAGAGGGATATCAGGAGATCCTCCCCTATTTGTTGCAGTGGAGAAGGTTCCACTGGGGGATCTGAGTTCTCGTCTCCAGAGTGAGATGAAGAATCTGAGGAGACGGAATGATCCGAAGGCTCTGCTGGTGGCTTATGAATCTTGCCCATTGGTTGCGATGGTTGTGGTTTGACAAACTCCGATGTTGGGGGAGGGTCTCAATCTCGGAATGGGCCAGTGTTGGAGACATCAAGGCCGTCGACCCGGACACAGGAGTCGACATCGAGGCATGCCCGACAGGATGAGGGAGATTGATGATCCCACTCCATCGATGCGTATGGGGGAAGCCGTGGCATGCCACTAGGAAAAGGGTAGTCCCCATACTGACACTGGCATTGATCCCAGGAAGGTGTAGGGGGGTGGAACGGTCCTGCTGGTCGATCTCGATTGTTGGGTCGATGCGGGAAAGGATGCATGAAGGTGCTCGCTCCTTGATCCGAGTGAAGGCTCTCGACACTGAAGG